ACCGCTTATTTTTTTTAGATTATGAACTTCAAATTGATTTGTAAAGTCTTTAGCTAGTGGATTATAAAGAACCTTTAGTGCAGTATAAAGTATCTGCAGTGCATATTCTATATAGACTCTAGACTGATTTGTAAAGCATGATAAGTGTATTAATGAATTGTAAGAACACTGCAGTACAAATCTTAGGTTTTTTATTGACTCTGTAATTGGTGTATTTTTATTGAAAACACTGAATTATTGTATAAACAACCTTGGACATGACTTTAGATCCTTTGTCTTGGTTTTCATCTTTTCAGGTTTACAGATCATGGGTTATGATGAATAGGTCAGTTTTTTTTTGCTTATTTTGGTTTCTAGCACTAGATTTTCTTAAGGTATTGGTTCCTTGGTTTTGGTTTTTAACTTTTTACATGCTTGCATATATGTGTTTTCTCTCATTAACAGGTCTTGGGTAAAATAATGAACACGTTGTTAGTTCTATTGTTGGCCTTGAAAACAAGGGGAATAAACAAAGTGAAATCCAGCATTTGTAAGTATTTTTTAGAGTATAATCTTTATATCTGTAGTTGTACTTCATTCTCCACATTGTTTATATTTTGATTTCGATTTTATTATCCACTTCTAGTAGTGTTGTACCGTATATGTTTTTGTGCGTGAACAAATCTGAAGTTATCTGTAATCCTCCTAAATGATTGATTTTGTGTCTATTTTGAAACCTCTACGCTCTATGATGGTTTCTTATGTACCATGTTTAAGATTCAAGCAAAAATTTAGTACAAGTGGGAATAAAATAATGTATTGGGAATTGCCTATCAATATTGCCTTATCCTCTGTCGTCTTCTCCTTAATATCAGCCTTGGTATCCTACTTTATACTTTTGGCTGCCCATTTTCTTACCATAGCATTACCTTTTAAGTTTTTTCCTTTTCATTTTAATCTGTGCACAATTAGTTAAAAACTGAATGATCAATATCTTCTTAGACCACTGCATACTGGTACTCTAAATAGTGCATTTTAACTACTCTGTAGTTCTTTTGAATTTTCAATACTACATTGGTCCACCAACTTAAATGCGTTCATAAGGCCTTTAGAGAATAGTTGCAATATATGCACACACAACTAACTTAATACATCTATATTATGGGTTTTCTAGTTGAATAAAAATCACGAGTAGTTTAGAATGGTGTAAGTACATAGTGACTACTCTCTTGGATATTGGAAGAACACTTATTTCAGTTTTCATGTGTGCTTTTTAATTTGCATTATGTAGTATATCAATGTGTAGTGCATTATTAGAATTAAGATAATGCNAATTCTCATCACAAAAAATGATGAATTATACTCTAGAGAGTGAGTTTTCTCTAAACGGTGATGCATTTAAAATAATTTATGATACATTTGAATACGGTTTATCTAGATATAGCATATTCTCTAAATAATGTTGCATTTAAAATGTTTTGTGATAAATTTGAATATGGATTATAAACACATAGAATGTTGCCAATTTTAAAAGATTAAAATGCATATTTAAAAGCTCCAAATGAAAGATGAAAGTGTCCTTAAAACAAAAATTATTGCCTATTACCTCAAATGGTAGAGCAGTATGTAGTACAGATGTGGGTTCGATTCCTACATAGGCAAAATATTTTTTGAATTATGTATAGCACATGTTTTGAATACAATGCATTTTTAGTCTTTCTCATCACATACAATGTCACTGTGAAGTCATTATTCATTAATCCACAAATCAATATAATAAAATTAGAATAAACTCTAAAGGATAAATCGTAGTGCATATATCTCCAGTCACAGTGCACTTGCATTGCTTATAGATATCACACTGCATCTTATCGAGATAAATTTAGAAAAGTGAAATTTGCAGTGAATAGGACTAAAACATAAGTCATTTCCCAATGTAAGACTTAAAATTTTTTATTCCTTAAATGAGACTAAATAATGACTTGTGAGAGGAATAATGTCCAAGTGATGCTGGACATTTAGTTGAATAATGACTACTAGATAATGACCAATGGTCTTACATTGGGAGATAAAAACATATGGTCCTATTTTGAGAAAGTCATTATGTTTTAGTCTTATTTAGGTAAATTACCCTTTAGAAAAATGAGATATTTATGGAATCAATTAGTTTTGGAAACACCGTGATATTATGACTTTACAATTAATCAATTTAATTGAGAGGATAAAGCCACCTAATTGAAGAAAAAATTAATACGGATGGCTGGTCAACAGAAGTGGATGCTTTGATTATTTCTTTTCCTAATTTGCCCTTTTGTATTACCTTTATCAATAAAATGGCACGCCACATTAAATGGAGCCAATGTCGTTACTTTTTTTTGCATCATTGAGAGCCTTTAGATTTACAAGATCAATGCATATCATTTATTCTTATTTCTTTCATTGAGACTCATTCTTATTAGAACCAACCCATATATATATATATATATATATATATATATATATATATATATTGTTAGAATAATAGACCAACGCTAGAGGGGGGGTGAATAGCGTTTGATCAAGAAATCGCAGGAATAAAAATGAATAAACGAGAAGTAAAGAGAAAAGAAAGAGGCACACCGATTTTACCCTGGTTCACCACAACTTGTGGCTAATCCAGCCTCCCGAGAGACTCTCTCGAGCTACACTACTATCTCGTTAAGCTTAACGGTTCTTAACAAACCCGTACAACTTGAGAATTCGAGTCACACGAACCTCAAAGAACTTTCGAAGGAAACAACCCTTCCTTCGAACAACAAGAGAAATACTTTCTCTTGTCAAGTGTCTAAGAACACTAAAAACACTCAAGAACAATACTCTCTTTTAGAGTGGATAATTGAGTAACTAAGAACGATCAAGAACACAACACAAGCTTCACAAAAATGGCTCTCAAAAAGCTATGAATAAAGGATGAATGATTTGCAATGAAAGAGTAGGAGTTGTGAAGTAATGTGATGTGTAAAACAGTCCCAAACACCCCATTTTATAGTGGAAAAATAGGCTCCAACGGACCAAAACATTTAAGGGGTGATTGGCACAATTTGTGGGATTTGATTAAATTTGGATCTGCTGAGATTCACCCAGACAGCGCTGTCCTAGGCTAGGACATCGCTATTCTAGGCTTGCGTTTTGAAAATTGGGAAGCAACGGTCATGCCAACAGCGATGTCCAATACTCCTACATCGCTGTTTTGGCTGTTGACTTCCAAACAAGGAAAGTTTTAGCCTTAAATTCCTTAACGGTCAGGTCCTTACATCGATGTTCAATACTGGAACATTGCTGTTTAGGTCTGACTTTGAAGATGAAGTTTTGGCCTGACAGCGCTGTTGCTAGGTCAACATCACTGTCCAAAAACTTTCTGCCAATGCATTACATTTTTGGCTTAGGTTGGACAGCGCTGTAGGGTAGGCTACATCGTTGTTCCAGAAGTTTCTAGAAACCCAACCTTGGCTCAACAACGATGTCTAATACCCAACATCGCTGTTGGAAGACTTAACGCCAAACCACGTTTTTAGCTACCCAAGCCAGACAGCGCTGTTGGTTTCACCAAAATCGCTGTTGGGATGGTTTTAGCCAGACCCATGGTTGGTTTAGTCAGCCGTTAGACGATGTCAAAAATGTAAGTTCTCCAAAATAAAAACCAAGTATTGAAAATATTTGTTTATTGCATTTTGCTAAGAAATCAAGTAAAACATCTTAAAAACCACGTCATTTAATTGAAAACCACGGGTAACCAAGTTTACGCCATTCCGCATGGTTTTCACTAAATGACCAAAAACGAAAGATGGTTTTTGAAGGGTTTTTGTTGGAGAACTATTTAAATATGCCCAGAAGTAAAAACCAATCATAAAAAGTTGAAAGTCACTTGGTTGATTCGGACGCCAAAAACAACCGCCGAAAACCGAAAGTCGAACGCCGGTTTCTGAGAGCCGAACGCCGGATGGCTTGGTTTTTGATTTGAGCGAACTCAAAGTGTTTTTAGGCATGTTGATAACTCACGAAAAACATTTTTGAATTTGTAAAAAGTATTTTGATGAAATGAGCCTAGAGAGCCAAGTTTTGAAAGTTTGTGCCGGTTTTGATCACATTAAGACCGACTTAATCTAATCCTTCGTTCTTGATTCTTGGTTCTCGGTTCTAATCATCATGCCATGTTCCTTCGCCTGGGTTTTGCTCACTTTAGCTTGATTATGTCACGGCGGTTTGGCATTATCAAAACCTGTCATAAAAACGAACACAATTTAGTACGACGTAGGCGTAAACCCGTGTTCCAATATATATATATATATATATATATATATATATATATATATATGTATATATATATGTATGTATGTATGTATATATATATATATATATATATACACACACACATATATACATATATATGTATATATATATATATATATATATTAGAAAATGCTCAAAAGCAACGAATACATCAAGTGTGTTTTGGGAATTTGTAAATGCCAAAGCTAAACACATGAGATTTATACAACAAAGAGGAATCCAAATGTTTAGCCCAAAACCATTGTTGAAGAAGCTTGTTTGTAGCAACCATAACACCCTCCCTCGTGAACCTTCCTTGTGAAAAAACACATGTAGTATACATCTTCCAAATAGTCCAAGAAAGCAAGCCTGGAAGAACAAACCTAACATTGCCCAAAATGCTGTTTTTATTCGAGGAGAACCACCAGCTGAGAAGCTGTTGCTGGAATGTCCAAGGCCCGGCTGCAATGGGAGCTTTAGCTGCAGCAGCATATGTACGCCAGAGGCTAGAGATCTCCCTGCAGTTAACCAAAATATGATGATCATCTACATTTTCCTCCAAGCAAAAAGGACAAGCTGCATCCACAGAAATCTGCAGCCTTTGTAAGTGACAAAGAAAAGGCAGCAGCTTATTGACTCCCCTCCAAAGGAAAAGACTCACTTTGTGAATATTCCTTAGCTTTGATCCCAAATATAAGAACAAGACAGCTGCTTAGGTTTATGATCAAAGGACTGAGCATAAACCTTCCCAAAGGAATAAACACCATCAGACCATATGACTCCCTTGATTTGAAATGCAGTGAGGAACCATAAGAGAATGCACTCTACAAATAGATTTCCAACTAGCTGAGTCATACACCTTTGCTGTAAATGAGCCATCCCTGAAATATTTATGCTGCATATAAGAGCTCCAAATAGTTCCACCTTGCTGCACCTTCCACCACAGGTCCATAGCAGCAGCACTTTGACAATTACCAAGATCCCTCACCCCTAGACCCCCCTCCAGCAAGGGGAAACAAAGCTTCTCCCACTTCCTCCAATGGTATTTGTGTCCCATGTCTCTAGCACCCCAGAAAAAGTTAGCCATTAGCATATGAAGACACTTAACAATAGACCTGGGAATCTCTTGCACAGCCAAAATATGTAAAGGAATGGATGACAACACATGTTTTATCAAAATAAGTCTCCCCA